GAGACTCCACCACCTCCCTAGGTAACGCACTTCAGTATTTCACCACCATCCTAGTGAAATAGTTTTTCCTAATATCCAACCTGGACCTCCCCCACTGCAACTTGAAACCATTGCTCCTTGTTCTGTCATCTGCCACCACTGAGAACAGCCGAGCTCCATCCTCTTTGGAACCCCCCTTCAGGTAGTTGAAAGCTGGCAATGCCCCTACTTATACAGCCCAAAATGCCGTTAGCCTTCTTGGCAACAAGAGCACACTGTTGACTCATATCCAGTCTCCCATGAGAACCAGGGCCTGCGATCTAGCAACTTCTGCTAGTTGCCAGAAGAAAGCCTCGTCCACCTCATCCCAGCACATATTGTGCTTTCCTGCACTCTGACATTGTCTGCCTCCACGCATTCTGCTGTGCTCTGTCAGTGTGGGAGGACAGCATGAGCTCAGAGAACATTTCATCCCGAGTGCGTTTTTTTTCGCCTTCTAATCTTCACTAGCCTCTGGGAAGGAGAAACATATGCAGCTGGTGGAGGAAAAAAAAGGGAGAGGGGTAGTTAAAAAGAACAATGGGTTTATAGTTTATAGAACAATAGGTACACTCTTTCACGGTAAACCTTGCTGTTAACATTACATAGCACACGTGTTTTCATTACAAGGTCGCATTTTGCCTCTTACTGAGGGAGGGCCTGCCAGTTTGGTGTGAGAGATCACTCACGCAGGGCCACGCAACAGAACTCGGCTTGCAGGCAGCCATGGTAAGCCACAGTCTTTTGGCTTCTTTAACCTTCATAACATGTGGGAATGGTTTCAAACAGCAGCGCCCTCATTTCCCATACCGAGCGGCCGTTGGGTTGGCCATTTAAAATGGGTTGGCAATTTAAAAGGAGGGGCTGCGGTTTCCGGGTTAACGTGCAGCACAAACCCAACTAACCCCACACACACACCCAATTCTCTGGGATGATAGTTTCACCCCTCCCCCCACCGCGGGGCTAACAGCGGGGAACATTTCTGTTCAGCCACAGGCAAACAGCCCAGCAGGAACAGGCACGTCTGAATGTCGGCTTAATAAAACCACCCTATTTCAACATGAATGATATCACTCTCCTGAGGATAACACAGAGAGATAAAGAACGGATGTTGTTTGAATGCCAGCAAACACCGGGACCATACGCTGCAATGCTTTGTTCTGCAATGATTCCGACTACATGCTACTGGCCTGGCGTGGTAAATTGTCCTACCATGGAGGACGGAATAAGGCTGCCCTCCCCAGAAACCTTTTGCAAAGGCTTTGGGAGTACATCCTGGAGAGCTTTATGGAGATGTCCCTGGAGGATTTCCGCTCCATCCCCAGACACATTAACAGACTTTTCCAGTAGCTGTACTGGCCGCGAATGCCAGAGCAAATTAATCATTAAACATGCTTGCTTTTAAACCATGTCTAATATTTACAAAGGTACACTCACCAGAGGTCCCTTCGCCACCTTCAGTGTCCGGGAGCCCGCCTTGGGTGGGTTCGGGGGTTACTGGCTCCAGGTCCAGGGTACGAAACACATCCTGGCTGTTGGGGAAACCAGTTTCTCCGCTTCCTTGCTGTGAGCTATCTTCAACCTCCTCCTCATCATCTTCCTCGTCCCCAAAACCCGCTTCCATGTTGCGTCCTACTCCATTGATGGAGTCAAAGCACAGGGTTGGGGTACTGGTGGCTGAACCGCCTAGAATGGCATTCAGCTCATCATAGAAGCGGCATGTTTGGGGCTGTGACCCAGAGCAGCCATTTGCTTCTCTGGTTTTTTGGTAGGCTTGCCTGAGCTCCTTAATTTTCACGCAGCACTGCTGCAAGTCCCTGTTATAGCCTCTGTCCTTCATGCCCTTGGAGATTTTTTCAAATGTTTTGGCATTTCGTTTACTGGAACGGAGTTCAGCTAGCACTGATTCGTCTCCCCATACAACGATCAGATCCCATACCTCCCGTTCGGTCCATGCTGTAGCTCTTTTGCGATTCTGGGACTCCATGGTCACCTCTGCTGATGAGCTCTGCATGGTCATCTCTGCTGATCAGCTCGCCACACTGGCCAAACAGGAAATGAAATTCAAAAGTTCACAGGACTTTCCTGTCTACCTGGCCAGTGCATCTGAATTGAGAGCACTGTCCAGAGCGGTCACAATGGAGCACTCTGGGATAGCTCCCAGAGGCCAATACTGTCGAATTGCGTCCACACTACCCCAAATTCGATTTCAGCGCTAATCCTCTCGTCGGGGGTGGAGTAAAGAAATCGATTTTAAGAGCCCTTTAAGTCGAAAAAAAGGGCTTCTTTGTGTGGACGGGTGCAGGGTTAAATCGAGGTAATGCTGCTAAATTCGAACTAAACTCGTAGTGTAGACCAGGCCTAAGACTCTAAAATGTTCCCCTTCTGGTCCTGAAGGCTGCTACATATTTATACTGAGTTCCTCACTAAGTCCAGATGCAAAGATTCCCATTGACATCAGTATGCTTTGGATCAGGCCTGGCTAAACTGTGGGTTCCATAATTTATTTTAGGTCACCGATGAAAACTTTCCCCCCCTTTGTTTCTTTCTGTAAAAATAGAGATACTGAAAATGATCAGTTTAAGGTGCTTTGTGTTCCATTTGGAAAGTTCTACTTTAAAATTATGTGTGCCATCCTTCTGCCACCAAAAAGAAGAGAGAAAATAAAATAAACACATCTCAAATTATCTTCAGCAGGAAAACCACCTGAGACAGAGGGGAGAGCAATGTAAAAGACCGGGAGCTTGGTGTAAAGGATCTGAGATTTCCTCTAAAGACTTAAGTGAGTTTAACATAGATAAACAGTGGAAGGCTGGATCATCATCTCTACTACAAAAAGAGGTAACACTGTGTTCATATCTGACATGGAATCACCAACATTAGTTGATTTCTTTTATATCGGTTTCATTTTTTCAGAATCCTATAAAGATCATTAATCAAGAAATAAATTTGTACTTTAAATTTTGTATTTATTACCCTATTTTGTGTTAATGCACAAGAACTCTCTAATTTACTAGTCATAGAATCATAGAAGATTAGAGTTGGAAGAGACCTCAGGAGGTCATCTAGTCCAATCCCCTGCTCAAAGCAGGACCAACCCCAACTAAATCATCCCTGCCAGGGCTTTGTCAAGCCAGGCCTTAAAAACCTCTAAGGATGGAGATTCCACCACCTCCCTAGTGCTTCACCTCCCTCCTAGTGAAATAGATTTTCCTACTATCCAACCTAGACCTCCCCCACTGCAACTTGAGACCATTGCTCCTTGTTCTGTCATCTGCCATCACTGAGAAGAAGCCTAGATCCATCCTCTTTGGAACCCCTCCCCCCTCTTCAGATAGTTGAAAGCTGCTATCAAATCCCCCCTCACTCTTCTTTTCTGCAGACTAAATAAGCCCAGGTCCTTCAGCCTCTCCTTATAAGTTATGTGCCCCAGTCTCCTAATCATTTTCGTTGCCCTCTGCTGGACTCTCTCCAATTTGTCCACATCCTTTCTGTAGTGGGGGGCCCAAAACTGGATGCAGTACTCCAGATTTGGGCTCACAAGTGCAGGACTCTGCAGTTGTCCTGGTTGAACCTCATCAGATTTTTTTTGGCACAGTCCTCCAATTTGTCTAGGTCACTCTGGACCCTATCCATATCCTCCAGCGTATCAACCTCTCCCTCCAGCTTAGTGTCATCCACAAACTTGCTGAGGGTGCAATCCATTGTATCATCCAGATCATTAATAAAGATGTTGAACAAAATTGGCCCCAGAACCAACCCATGGGGCACTCCGCTTGATACCTGCTACCAACTAGACCGAGCCATTGATCACTACCTATTGAGCCCGAAGATCTAGCCAGCTTTCTATCCACTTTATAGTCCATTAACCCAATCCATACTTCTTTAAGTTGCTGGCAAGAATACTGTGGGAGACCATATCAAAAGCTTTGCTAAAGTCAAGGTATGTCATGTCCACTGCTTTCCCCATATCTACAAAGCCTTCTCATCATAGAAGGCAATCAGGTTTGTCAGGCATGACTTGCCTTTGGTGAATCCATGTTGACTGTTCCTGATCACCTTCCTCTCCTCCAAGTGCTTCAAAATGGATTTCTTGAGGATCTGTTCCATGATTTTTCTGGGGACTGAGGTGAGGCTGACCGGTCTGTAGTTCCCTGGATTCTCCTTCTTCCCTTTTTTAAAGATGGGCACTATATTTGCCTTTTTCCAATCGTCTGAGACCTCCCCCAATCACCACGAGTTTTCAGAGATAATGGCCAATGGCTCTGCAATCACATCAGCCAACTCATCTGCACTCTCGGATGCATTGTATCTGGCCCCATGCACTTGTGCCTGTTCAGCTTTTCTAAATGGTCCTTAACCTGTTCTTTCACCATTGAGGGCTGCTCACCTCCTCCCCATACCATGCTGCCCAGTGCAGCAGTCTGGGAGCTGATGTTGTCTGTGAAGACCAAGGCAAAAAAAGCATTGAGTACTTCAGCTTTTTCCATATCATCTGTCACTAGGTTGCCTCCCTCATTCAGTAAAGGTCCCACACTTTCCCTGACCACCTTCTTGTTGCTAACATACCTGTAGAAACCCTTTTTGTTACCCTTCGCATCCCTTGCTAGCTGCAATTCCAGTTGTGTTATGAGAGTCCCCAGATATCTTAGCCACATAGGTGTTCACAATTGCATCATAACATCACTAATAAATTTAGCTGCATTCGTTGTATTTAGCTTGAAGTATTCTGTCTCACTGGTGAAGGATAAAGTGGATTTCAGTGAATGGAAATGGCACAATGCTGTATTTCTAAATATTGATATAAAACATTAATAGGAAGAGAAATAGTCCTGAGTTACTGAAACAATGTGAAATCATTTTATTCAAAAAGATCACTATAAAATTAACATTGCCTACTGTATTTTTCTTGAAATCTGAATTTTTGAAATAAAAAGATGTTAAAAGATTATCCCAGAAAATTCTGGTGTGTCCAGTGTGTTCTTTCTATTTGAATTGGAAGAACTTCAAGTGAATGCTGTATATGTAATCATGAGTATTCTGCTTTGAAAATTGCTCCTTCGGTCAGAGAAAGGAAACATACCATGTGGTCTGTGAGACCAATCAAAACAGCTCAGATTTCAAACACAGAATATTTTTAATGAATTGCTCACAAATAAACTAAAGTCCAATGATCATTCACAGAAATATTTTGGAGAGTAATTTTGAACAATGAATATATACAATTTGGAAACAGTAAAAATAATTGAATAAATTATTAGTTATGAGTTATTCACACATCTCTAGTGGTGTGATATCCTAAATATACTGAAATAGGATGGAAGTCTATACCAGTTGTGATGGGGCAAGGCCAGATGGCTACAGTAAAGTAGTGAGGAACAGGTATGCTACCACCAGACTAAACAAATCCCTGGTACCATGGTAACCAAATGGCAGTTGCTCCAGGTTAATCAAGACACTTGGGGCCAATTAAGATCCTTCTAGAAGGCAGTGGAGATAGCTAGATTGATTGGGACACCTGAAGCCAATCAAGGGCTGGCTGGAACTAGTTAAAAGCCTCCCAGTTAGTCAGTGTGGTGTGGGTGTCAGGAGCTATAGGAGGGAGCTGTGCTGTTGGAGGAATGAAGTAGTATGAATCCATATCAGGTGCAAGGAAGGAGACCCCGAAGTAATTGTGAAGAAGATATTGAGAGGGGGCTGCTGTGGGGAAGTAGCCCAGGGAATTGTACATGTCCTATTTCCAAAAAGTCAGCTTCCATAGCTGCTAATTTTAGGGTCTCTGGGCTTGAGCCCGGAGTAGAGGGCGGGCCCGGGCTCCCCCCTTCCCTCCCTGATTAATCACTGATACTGGGAGACAACAGAGACTGTGCCAGGGAGGGTTGTTTCTCTTCACCTCCCTTGCTGGCTACTGATGAAAATGGCTCAGTAGACTGTGACCCTTCTCTCTAGAGAGAGAGAGAAGGGCTATGTGGAGGGTCACAGTGAGCCTCTGAAGTTAGCAAAATCTGTCAGGAAACACAGGACCCACCGAGCCAAGGACAGAACTTTGTCACACAGTAAAGAATACATGATATGATTACATATTCTATTTCATGTAAACTGCCATGGGCATTTCATAGGTTCATTCTGAACAGAAAGTTTTAGAGCTCTACAAAGTAGTCCTTTGATGAAATTATATTTTCATGTTTTGCCTTCTCTATTTTTTTCATGTTTTGTCCTCTGTTTTAATTGTTTTCAGCCCTAGCTAGTAGAGTGTTTTAAAGCCTATCCATGTTTGAAAACCACATGTACTTAAATGCAGAAAAATTGGAATCATTCCCATTTGTGAGCTTTACTACAGTGATTAATCTGGTTCCTTTAAATATAACTTTGACTTCTGTTTGAATTGATGTGGAGATATTTCAGGGATCACATACACTGTAAAGCAGGAGGCCATTCCAGGACTGCCATGTTATTAATAAGTACTGTACCCAACTAAGTTTTATTTTTTTTAATATTTCCCTTAATTACAACTGTTCATCAATGTACTTATTCAGTTTATTTTAAAGCACAATGACTGCATTAAGGGATTGATGCATTGTCTTTTCTTGTGTAGCAGCTTGATGACATCAGCTGTTCTGAAGGCAGCACAGTGGATCTGACAAATCCTGAGGAGCTTCTGAAACAGATCCCTGAGCTGGCTGAATACTTAAAGAAACCTGATAACTGTTTTCCAGACGGTAAGGATCTGCTGATTTCAGTATGACTAGGAAGTAAGGACAGCCCACAGCAACCTGTTCTCCTAGCTAATGCTGAGACACTCATGCACTCAACACCAAGGCACTCTGTCTATTTGCAGAGTATTTAATGCTAAAAATACTTTAATAATACATAATTACGTAGTACTTGTGTAGCACTTTTCATCCATAGATCTTAGTAATAGTGAAAACATATGAGAAATAGGCAGAGAGAACTTGTTAGTGTTTGGTTGAATTTCTCTAGGATGGTAAGCCTGGAGGCCCACTTTAAATTGCTGTATAGCTTTTAGCTTTACAAGTTTATTTCATGCCAATATTTGTGCTCAATGCATTTTTAAATTTTCAAAGCTGGCTCCTTCTAGCAAAAACTATCCATAACAAGATTATTGTGGTTGTCGCTAGAGGAAAAGTTAAATTAAAGATTAGATGAGTAAAAAAAAAAAAAATCCAAGACCCTCTTTGAAAGTCTTTGGGTGGAGATAAGGGTTCCCCTCAGCCAAGCTGTAAAGGAGATGAAAAGTCTAGGAAAAGGTCTAAAAGATTTTGTTCTTTCCAAGTGAAAGGCTAATGTCCTTCCAACATCCAGAGTATGTAAACTAACATCTGCCCTAGAAGTAGGGTAAAACACTGGAAACTGTAACAGTCTCTGGCTTTGACCCTTGCCTTGACTCCTTACCTTGTCTCTAGCTCCAGCCCCCGGCTCTCATTCTGGGCCCCTGACTCCAACCTCTAGGCCTGACTGGCCATGCCTCAGTCCTCACATAGTTTTTCCCCATCTCAGAACCTTCCCTGTTCTCCCCACTTGGAAGAAAGCCTATGCCCAGAGATCAGGGATTAAAAAACCATGTGTCCTGCCCTGCTCCTTCTCAGTCAGTAGTGATCCTGGGTGCAGCCTTTCCTGCCTTGGGGAAGCTTATATCTCCACCAACTGCAGCATCTGCTGCTCCTTCCCTCCCCAAACGTGAGAGGGACAAGAGCTTCAATTGAGGAAGTATCTCATGGAGAAAGCCATGAGATCCCAGTAGGATCCGGGCTGGGAAGACTTAGTGCAGCACCTCTCTGAGCATGAGCTCCAGAACAGAGGTCAAATCTACTAAGTCAAAGGACCCATTGTGTTGGCCCTTTCATGAGAGAAGGGGTACACTTAAAACACAGGACCAGATACACTTCCAAATCTGTTTCCAAAAGAAGGGATCCCTCCCTGACTCCTTCCAAATCAGATGAAACCTTGTGCTCGAATCCTAAAGACTTAGGCCTGCCTAAACCTCCCAACCACAAGGGTAAGGCATGCAGAAGCAAGGATCCACTGGTACTGACTCTGGTTCTGACTACTAAGCCAAAAGATCACCATCTGCTGGCACTGACCATCAGCTCCAGGCAGGAATCTTCTTCTCCAATGGTACTGACTCAACCCCATAAGGATCTGCCAACTGCTAAGCCTGTGGAAGTGCTGGATCTGCCCATACCAACTGCTGGGACACCTTGTATTCTTGGATTAATTGAAACTTCTACCTTTCCCTACCCTCAATTTCCTCTTCTCCCAAATCCAGTTCTTCTAAGGATGGTTCTGACCCCAAAAGAGGAACCCACCTTGAGGAGAAGGAGCTACTCCCCTACTCTGTCCACAGACTGGAGTCTACATCTCCCAGTATCACTGTTATCGCTGGATCCAACCTTCTCTTCAGCCAAATCTGACATCCAAAATGAGCAATCACCTCCACAAGGGAGATTAGCCCTGACAGAGCCTCTAGACTGTCTTGGACCCTCCCTCCACCCAGACAGTATTACCCTCTGAGGGACCGATAGTACCCAATGGAGTCCTCCCCAACCAGCTTTCAAACCATCATACTGGCCCTACTGAGGCCCATGGGATCCCTATGCATGGCACCCTTGATCCATGCAAGAGTCTCACTGACTCTTCCCCTAGACAACACCAACCAGCTCCACCAGAGTATGCAGAAGAGGAAGATATTGAGCTGGAACCCATGGTAGCAGCAGTACCAATAAGCATACAACTCTGTCACATCTTGCACGCATTTAACATGCGCGATTTCAATTTTACGCGGTCGGCAAAAACAAAAAAAGAGAAAAATAACAATTTTAATACAGTACCTGTAGTGCGGGCGATTCCACCCGCCATTTAACTCAATGTAATTTTGACTATACGCCGTTTTCGCTTTACGCACTAACCGCGGAACGGAACCCCCGCGTAAGATGAGACAGACCTGTATCATCATTCTTACCTGATGAGGTCAGCATCCTATATTCGCCATCCCTGACTGATGACAACAGGGAATACCAAGAACTCTTGCGGAGGGTAGCGGCTGACCTCCAGATCCAACTTCAGTATAAGCTTCTGGGCATCCTGCAGCCTACTCATCTCAATCAAGTGCCTCTCCCTTTAAATGAGGCCATCGTGGAACCTGCCAGGGTGATGTAGCACACACCTGCCTCTTGCACTGCTACACCTAAAGGGGCTGAAAGATATTTTGTACCTACCAAAAGTAGAGGAATTTTTGTTCACCCACCCTGCCCGCAACTACCTAGTTGTACAAGCAGCCATAGAAAGGTCCCGGCGGCAACATC